TAAAAGACTCTACACTCTACACACCAAAATCAGAGTAATAATTAAAAGTAAACAAAATGAAAAGGATTATAATGAAGGAAGTTTTCGATTCAACGAAATTAATTTTAAAACTTCATACTGGTTTATGTATACTAGAAGAAACAAAACATTTTACAATAATATCAAATTAGGGATTGAAATAGGCTCAATGGGAAAATTACTAGTGTTGGTTTGCAAGGAATTGATTGATTTCAAACTGGATCACGAACCGACTTCAATTAGAGAACTATTGAAAACCAAGTAGTACTGAAAAGCTCTCTCTCTTCCTAGTTTTGGGACTTTCCAATAGTAGGTACCCATCACCACCCCACCAGAGGTCGAACCCAGGACTCTTCAGTTTACAAGAAAAACTCGTCGATCATTCAGTCACTGGGACGGAATTCAATAGGTGGGCCATCAATTCCAACTTCTGCCAGTTTTGCGATTTATAGCTCCACTGGCAGCCGCCAACACCATCTGTGAGTTTTTGTCTTCACGGTCAAATTGGTGTGCCCCGCTTATAACGACCTCTCACTCCGTTCGACGCCTGGTGAAGTTATGAGTGCGTGTTGATGAAGAGCCATAAATGAGGACGAAACAACTGTTCAGTACTCCTTGGTTTTCAGTGGTTCTTCAACTGAATTAAATTCGTGATCAAATTAGTAGGAGAAGTAAATGTGTATTAGTAACATAAGTAAGAATTCGCAACGGTGTATAACAGAAAAAAGATTTTCGTAGGTTTGGTTTTGCTCACACTTTAGTTTTATGAATATTGCTTTCGATGTCATTTGATGTAACACCTTTACAGTAAACCTTGCAAAACTGGATTCGCATCCACCACTGTCAGAAAAACAGAAGTAAAAACTAGAGGAACCACCTGTGTACGAGATAATTTGTGCTATAGTCATTAGCCATAAATCTCTTTACGTGTTGTATATTACACAAATTTTGTGCATATAACATATATTCTTCATTTTAACTTCATTAACTACCAAAATCTTGTCCGCAATAAGTAATTGTTTGCTTTAAAGATGCCTATGGTTTTATATCTACATGGCAAGTCAATGACTGTTTTATGCGAAATGCTTTTAAAACTTAATTCTGACATCCCGTCAGCTTTCCTTATATCACTATGATAAGCTATGACAACCATTACTGAGAGTGTTTTCAATGAAGTTATACTTTTACCATTTAAATGGTGGATGGTGACTAGCAGTGAAATCCAGGATGCGCATTTCGTCCTATTTGGGACTCGTCAGTTGGACGTACTTGCATACCCCAGTGAGTGATAATGTTCCCACTGAGGCTCGAACCCAGTACCGATAGCTTCAAACGCCAAAACGTTATCCACTAGACCACTTGGGCCGTGAGAGCCACCCCTTGTGCAACGGGTCATATTGATTATTTAATTGAATTTTAGATTTTCCCGTCGATTGATTGAACCAAAGTGCTCGGTCTTTTACCAGTTTGAATCAGTTTAACACCTCAATTATCACTTACAATTTTCGGGTTTTAATCTGTAAACAACAGGTAATCTTTTAGCGATATATGGTTACCTAAATTTTGGTTAATTTTTCGGAGTCTGAATGATAAGTTTGGTGTCTTAACTAATTTGCCTGAACTGGATACGATGGCTTGGGTATCATGGGATGACACGGAGAAGGTCATGTGGAAAGGAAATGAAAACTCCTAGACAGTAGTGAAGCTATTTTTGATTGGCTAGCGTAATGTGTCTAGTACTATCTTTGGTGCAGACTGAATTCTATCAGTCAAGTTTGCAATGTAACCACCAGCCACCACGAAACCTAGGTTCAAGGTTTCCTGCCGATTGCCTCCAACCATCTAACACCAACAATTCACAGTGCATCCTGATAGCGAGCCACCTAGAATCGTGGCCACATTGCAAACTCGACTTATAGAATTCAGTCTGCACCAAACATAGGACTAGATATATTACTCTAGCTACTGACTAGTATCAAATCAAAAATATCCATTACAGTCCTACAGGAGGTCAGTCCCGAGCCTGAATAGCTCAGTGGTAACGTCTCTGAGTGCAGCACTGGGTGACGCGGGTTCGAATCTCAGAAGGGATACGAGTTCCTTCAGGGCTGCAGATATGCCTTCCTGACGAGTGCCAAGAATCACGAAACCTAGGTCCAAGGCTGTCGAATCCCTATGTTTCAGTCAGAACTCAAGGAATATATAATACTATTAATATTAGAGTTTTTAGAAGTTGCGGCTCATTGGTCTCTGTGCCCGACTTTCAATGCGTTGGTCACACGTTCGAACTGCACTCCAAGCATTGAAGTTTACACAGCCTGGGACAGTATAGCCAACCCTCACAAAATATGTGTAGATCATCCCCAACTATATGAAATTGCAAATGACTGTTGAGTAACGTTGAGTTGGGTTGGATTGATCAGTATTTCAAGTTCTAAGTGATATTTATGTTTTAATTTCAATCATTCATGATGAACTCTTCTGTATTCTACTTGCTATTTGAATTTATGTTATCATATTGTATTTTACTGTCTTATTTTATATTGAAAAAAAGGTAATTGAAGCTGAATTAAGACGCCTTGAAGCAGAACAAACTGCAAATCATGTGACGCGGTTATCTGCTTTCTTACCTGACTCATTTCTCCGACGTGGTGGTGATAATGAGGCATTACTTTCACTTTTGTTAATCGATCGACTAGCTGGGAAATGCGATCTGCTGGCTAATCATGTAAGTTTAATCTTATTCTTTCAAGTTGTGATACTTTACTGTATATAATAAATTATACGTCGTAATAATAATATACGTGGTCACGAATTGAACCACTTTTCATGTGTACAATGCGTTACTGATATTCAGATTGGGGGACCTAACTCTCTAATTTACTTTGCTCTAAACAAATGAATGTTTATAGTTAATGAGATACCATAGATTTGTGTGATGCTTCCTTATTAATATTCATGCAAATGTACTAACAATTTTGAGCCATATTACTCAAAGTCCCAAGCAATAGTTCTTAGTGTCTCGAGATCCCAGCCGACTAGTCCATTTGACTACCCCTAACTCTTTTCCAACCTAGTCCTGTGTCTGTTAACATTGCTCAACCAAGGAGGTAGTGGCTTGGCATGTGTGACACATATCCTATCCATCTCGATCAGTTTAGCTTCACAATTTCATTGACAGACTTTCTCTTCTCACCTAGCTTCACTATTACCCACCATATTATACCACTTAACACGAGAGATGGGAAGCATACACCTATGGTCAGTGACAACTAACCTCTTCATATCTCTCACTTTCAACAACATAAACAGGACGAACTGCTGCGCCGTACATATGTCCTTTAATCGATAGTTGTATATCCCACCTATTACTATAATGAAAGTGGACGAAAATGAGGACAATGAGCGTACCGGACGGACACTTTTGATGGTCATCACTTCACATGATAACTCTCCATAGGGTCTAACACAGCCGTGTGAGTTCGAGTAGAGTGTCTTGGTTAGTGTGATATACTTTTTCGGCACTCTGTTCACGACGAAATATTGATACAGTACCTCTTGGTTGATGGAGTCAAATACCGCCTTTAGGTTAAGAAATGTAAGAATTGTTGGACACCAGTAAGTATGCCTATATTTCAGAATCTGTCGAAGGATAAAAATACGATCCAAACACTCTCGTCTGGGCCTAAGGCCTCACTTGTTTTCACTGGTTCGTTCCTACCAAGTACCGCTTAGTTGACGCGTGATTATTGGTACTATGCTAGTCAAGCCCAGCCCTATGATTGTTCTTACAGGCGGACGTGTTTCCTTCCTTATAAACTAGAATAATCAATGATTTACACCAGTCCAACGAAACTATTCCCAGACACTATACAACACCTTAGTTAACCCAGTTAACAGTTCATCGCCATTATTCTGAAACACTTCTGGAGTAATTCTATAAGGTCCCGTTGCTTCTCCTCGTTTCAGATTAGAGACAGCTTTTGAAACCTCAGCTGTAGTTAAAGGACTAATGTCTACAATCCATTCAGATAGGTGGTGGATGCTGGACAAAATAAGTATAACTGTAGGCTAGTTAAAGTGCTCCTCAAATTGTATACTGACAAGCGAAATAAGTGAAAAATCGTTAAAACCAGTCAGTGGGAATCTATCAAGAGTGGATAATTAAGAGATAATGAGATACGAAATATGATGGAATATTTGGGAGAATGAACTATCGTCTAAATAAGCGTTAAATGAGAAACAGTTTGCGTTACGTCACAATTACATCGCTTGAGAGAAGTAGAAGCATTTTATTTCAACACTAAAGGGCTAAGATAGTAGAGAAAGCAGAGTTTTAACCAGTTTTTTTTGTGTACAAAGCTCCAGCTCCTGTAATTCGACATTTAGGGCATCAAGAGAGCAAAGAATGTGAATATACACTGATTTTGATGGGTAACTTAACAGTTCTTAGGTGTAATTTCTGAGGGAAAAGTTGTCGTGATTGAGTGATCAGTGTTGACCTGATGTTCAGCTATCGCAGATCTTGTAGACTGATTTCTACCTCTTCCTTAACCATCAATCAATCTTAGCATCTTTACATTCGTTAAATAGTTGGAAGCAATCGGCAGGAAGCCATTACAAGCATCTTGTGCAACGGGTATCAGTTATTACTTTTGTTTTTAGGTTAATTTTGCATTTTCCGTTGATTGATTATGTTGACCTGAAATCCTGGGTCTCTCTGTTGACATGTCGGCTTCTAGTACGGATGCTTCGACTATGTCTTAGGAATAACGTGAAGTTACTTCGGTTGATGATAACTAGTAGTGGAATCCGAGATGTGCATTTCGTCGTGTTTGGGATTCGGCAGCTGCATGTACAGAGCACTTCGATCCAACACATAGTCAATCAACGATAAATGCAAATTAACCTAAAAAGTAAATATATTCACAATCGTTTTATGTTTATAGCATTTAATCCCACACTAAATGATTTACTTTCAGCTTGTTGAACGTTATCCATTGCCTCCTTGTGTTCCGGGTCAAGCACCGCTACAGATGCCTCAAGGTGAAACCAGTACTACTACTACTGCTACTACTACTGACAATCCAACTGAAGTTGTCAGCGGAATTTGTATTCCTGGTACTAATAATCCACTGCCACCGTTGACTAAAACAAAATCAGAATTCTTTAGTTTTATAACTAGACTAATTCATCTACTCCGGTCAATGTCTTCTTTGTTAGGCCAGTGTAAACAGTAAGTGTTTTTAATGTATTTAGTCGAATTGTTAATATTCTAATGGTAGTTTGTAGTTAGGATGAGAGGGTTAATTGATTTCAAGTTAGATTCGACCATAAAGTGACTTCGAGAGAGAGAGAGAGAGAGAGTGAGTGATTGAAAATCAAAGGGTAATGCGAGTTTATTTCATCTTAGCCTGCGACTATTCAGCAGTAGACATGATCCGACCTGGCATTGAAACGAGAACCTTCAAGGTATGAGGCGATCAGATTCTTGAACATGGTGGAGTGCAGCAAACCAGTAGCCTTACGGTCACGCCACCTGCCAAGTGATTCACAACGGAAATCTCAGTGAAGTCTTTGAAGTGAAGACAGGAATGAAACAAGGCTGTCTACTATAACTAGTGGGTTGGGTCATGTGGCAGACTGTGGGGAGTAGAAAAACAGGCATACATTGGACTGACAAAAAGACCCTGGAAGATTTGGACGTCGTGGATGATTTATGTCTCGTGTCTCACAAATTCGACGATTTACAAGGAAACACCAACACGTTTGCAGAATTGGCAGCAAAGACGGAATTTCAAGTGTATAGAGTGAACAACAATCATCAGTTACCATCAACGGGAGAAACCTGAAGGAAGTCTTTTCCTTCACTCAGCTGTGCATCATCTCAACTACAGGCGTCACGGATGGGTATGTCAAAGCCAGTCAGAGTCCGAAAATCACGACAGTCATGCATTAAATCTGAAAACAATGTGGAAATCTACCGCACTCAGCACAGAAAAAACCCCAGTTTTCAGTACTAATGTCAAGTCAGTGCTTCTATATGGTTGAGAAAGCTGGCGCGCACACTACGTAAAATATTCCCCATAGACTGCAGACTTTCGTCAATAGGTGTCTTCTCTAGCTCTATACTGAAGACCGAATGGCCAGTCAACAAAGATAAGTGACAAGGAAGTCTCGCAACGAACAAACCAATAAATTGTTGCCCAACAGATGTGCAGAAAGAAAAAAGGAGCCGGATCGCGCATACATTTATGAAATTGTTGGGTGATGTACTGCTGAAGTCCTAAGTTGTTCCACACGGAATCCAAGGGATGAATAATATAGTCACAAATATGTTACACTGTGAACATGCAGTAGGTTCAAAATAAGAATATTCAGAATTATCAGCTTTCTATTAACCTTTATTTATTCGATATAGTATTTCACATCAAAAAATTTTAATCAATGTTAAGATATTATGAGTAAAATGAATATAAGATATAACCACCGGTGTCCTACTTTTTATCGTTTTTCCAAATGATAAAAACTATTAAAAAACAACTCTACAATTTTAACATTCAGTATGCATATCTACTCCTATGTGAAATCGCCCCTGTTCAAATCTTAAAAAGCGCGTCAGTCAGTGGCACAGCGGTAGAATGCTCGCCAACCACGCAGATGGTTTAGGGTTCGATCCCCAGCCGACGCACTCCGTTACCTCACTAAACCAGTAATAAAACTGGTAAAAAGGGAAGGTTGGAGGGCTAGCAATCCCATCTCGTAAAAATAAATACCACTGCTACCGAAACTTCAAGTCTCTAGCTTGAAGTAGCCCTATGTTCCACTGGGAACGTAAAGGAATAAATAAAAATCTTTTTAAAAAAGTACAAAATTGAATCCGTGATTTGCAATTCACGAAGTTTGAATTGCAGTTCCCCTTGGAAACCGAAATTATTCAGATCGTGGTGTGATATGCTTGTTAACATAAGTGGCAATCAAGAGAAGAAGCATAAATGCATGACTGTATACTACTGATTGATTGATATGAGTAGTTGTATACAACTCACATCAAGCAATAGTGCTTGTTAGCCTGATTGAAGTGATCTAAACACCAGGCGGCAATTTCGCTCCTTCGGAGTCGAGCTCATTGACAGTGGTATCCAACTACAACAGGCGGTTTTCAAAACCCAGTCGTCCTCAGTATTGTCGACAGTCCTCCGGTACGCCTGTGACACCACCCAATCGTCATGTAGCTGGGTCCACAAATTCAGGACCAGTGTACACCATCACGAACCTCATATGAAGGTTGCAAGCGACGTCAACCAGGTCAGAAATGTTGGTCATTCAGCTCTTCCGAGGCTGATGGCACAGTGGTTAGGACTCTCGCCGACCATGCACATGGTCCGGGGTTCGATCCCCTGCCGGTGCACACCCGATATCTATGGTCAGCCTGTAAATTTGGGCTACCGATATCCATGCTGAAAATTCCATACTTGTACTGAAAATACGGTGTGGAATCAAGCTGTAGTCAAAATAAAAATAAATAAAATAAAATACCTTGCCTCCTCACTTGATTTCTGTTGGATTCTATGGATCAAGCCCTCAGGGTCCATCTCTGTCGCTCATATTTCTTTCAGCCGTTAGATACCCTCTTGTGGTGATTTTCCCAACGACATCTGTGGTAAAAACAGTTTCTGAAGCTCCTGACCCTGTTTACGACTACTGTGCTATTAGCCAACCGTCCATTATGTCACTGGATACGTCAGATACATTGAAAATCAAGATCAGTTGTTTCTCCAGGGCTGAACTGATAGTTCTTCAAGTCCAAAAACCTCCCCCAGTTAGTACCAATAAATGCAGCTCCGGCTTTAAATAATATCTTTATGTCATTGTTTCGGCGAATAGCTACTGCTCAACTCTCCCGTTTCTGTTTTCTTTCATCTTCGAATTATAATCCTACAGCTCTCATCTATCATCAGATACTACTTCAACTTGAATTATATTTCACTGCAGACAATCTTTTTAGAGATTATATGTCTTCATCGCCAAATGGATTCTGATGTCTGGGTGAATGTTAATCTGATTGCTAAGTTTAATAAGAAATGGTAGATTCACTTTCTTGCTAATTGTTGAGGTGCTTAATGCTCTAGTCTATCGTAAAAAAAATAGTCCATCAATACTGCTAGGCTTAGGGAAAATGTACTGTATTGAAGGTAGCTCCCATCTAGTTTCCCAGGTTGCATATTAAGTGAAGTGGATAGAGAACCTGCGACCCATAGAATGCGAAAGTACAAGTGGAGAAGTCAATAAACCACATCTTCACATTTCTGTTAACTTCCGGTTGTTTTGAACTGCAGTAACCTGAATTGATTCAGTCCTTTCACAAAGTTCTGATTATGATTAGTTTGTTTATGAGTTCTGCATTTACTTCATTGCGTTATTGGTTAAGGGGGTCAAAGTTCAACTCCTGACCGGTGCATTCCTATACCTTGACCAGTTCACTAGTTGATAGTAAGCCCGGAAAATAAGGAAGATTGGGTCTAAGGCTAACAATTTTTCATCGTGTAAAAACACGAACGGTACTGAAACTTCAAAGCCTAATTCCTGAAGCCTTATGTTCTACTCGGGACACAAAGATCAAAAATATAAAAGGATCCTTTACTGTGATATTTTCCAACTGCCGGATAGCAAACTATGTGTGCACTTTCATCATTTGTAACTTTCTGTTAGATTTATTGTCTATTGGTATCACACTTTTAATTTAACATTACTACACTATCGTTTTGCTTTATTCTCCTTCTTGATAGAGTCCTTTCAGGTTGTAGTGTTGAACTGTATTTGAAATTCGGTTCTTTATATAATGAAATGATTGCACATGAACATTGTATTGATCGATTAATTGAACAAACAAAGAATGATCAGTTAGACGAGACAATTTCATTGGGACCATTACTTTCGTCATACAACTACTTTATTCAATTATATACAGTTCATTTGAAAACAGAACAGCTATTTAATTGTAACAATAAACTGCTAGATTTCACGCGAACAATTCTATCAGCTGTTGATGCCTTATCTGTTGATTCAACTGCGTTGATGATATTGACTGGTCAGAATGTTGATGGTTTATCACAAGTGGCTAAAACAGCTGCCACTTGTGTATCTGGACCATTGAGTATGGGTAATCTGGATGATGTTGGTTCGTTACTGTTAAGTAATCCTACTGAAGGCGGTTTAATTGGCCTCCTTACTGAATTAATTCATTTTTCTACAACTGTACGTGTTGTTACGCGTCGAATAAAACGAAGAATCCCAAATAAGCCTACAAGTCAACCGTTATCATTCAATCAAGATGTTTCACAGAAACTAGATTCAGCTATACAATTGTTAGGATCAGTTGTTGGCGCTATGTATCAAACAACTCGTTTAGCTGGCCAGTTGACAGTTCGACAAGTTGTAAGTTTTTTCTCAATAACTTGTGAATATGTTCTTTTTCATAATAAAGTTAAACGTATCATATCTTATAAACCATTTCGTTATTCACAAGACATGAAAGCACTTATTTTGATTTTAAACTGAAATGCCTAACTGAGATGTTAAGCACCACCGGTGACTGAAGACTGATAATATAGCTCAAAACTGTTCTCATTGGCGCAAATGCATTCCCTCTTTTGATCTCTCTCATATCCACTGAACTCTCTTGTTTTTCCATTTTTACCATTCTGTCTCTGATGTATGTTTCTACACATTGTAATTCCTTTGAATCCCTTCTTTGTCTCTTTTCTCTACTTTTGTGTGCTACATGGAGTGTGGCAACCTAAACTGGGGCACTTCTGTGCAAAGTTCTATGCTGAAATTCAGTCAGTCAGTCAGTTGTCAGAAACGCTCGATATTCATATTTCATAAGTGTGTGTTTAAAGCTGAATTTGTGGTGAGAGCTGGCTGCGAACAAGCCAAAATTGTGAACAACAATTCACGTCAGTGTTACGTCTGGAATCAGGGTCATGAGAAAAACGATAACAAAGCTTAACCTTAAGGAACTCACCAACCAATCACATCGGACTTAACGTGTGCAAATAGGATTCGCAGATGCATGGCTTAACTTTCTGAGAAACGGTCATAAGCAGTACAAAATAACCTTCAGTAAGAAAACTACCGATGAAAAGACGTTTCTTCTCTGCTAACAATAGTGCACATAATTTATAAATCTCTGTTGATTTTCTCAATAAACAATCTGTTGGCTGACTCTTGTCTTCTGTCGTTACAAATTCAGTAATTTATCGATATTGTATGTACACCTCATTATCTTCCTCTTTACATATTTTCTAACTCATATGACTATTTTTTACATCCGTCGACTGTATTGCTGAGTTTGTACAGGTGTATTTCTAAACTTTAATTTCTTTGAAATATAAGAAATAAGCAATAAAGGAGACTCTCTTTGGCTAAATTATTGTCATCCCTCGGCTGATCGCTTGTCAGAAACATATAACTTGTTTCATTTTGTTATGTATGTGAATATGAGGACCTTGTAACTACGACGGGAAGTTCGAAACAATGATCGAGACTTACTTCAACAACAGTGAAAATGTTAAACAACAACCCGTATTTATACAGTTAGAAAATCAATGTCACATTTTAAAAATATTAACAAACCATGGGAATTCAGTAATTAAAATCAATAATCACGCAGATGCGGGAAATCAATGATTATGCTAGTGTGTGAAATAAATAATGAATATTAATGATTCACCTGCGTATATATTACATTTTATTAAAGCACACTTGGTACATTGTTGGCACCAAGAAATGCGCCACACAAAATCTCATAGTTTGTACGACGCCTAGGATACTGCCCGTTCGCCCAGAGCGAAGCAGGTGGTCGTTTTAAGGAGTTACCCCACCCCCTCCGAGCCTATTAGTTAAAGTTTTATCCACATGGCAGTGTAGCTGCATCCCCATGGTTACCAGTGATCGAAACACGTTCATACTCCATTTTTATCCTTTTAGATTCTGGGGCCCATTTACACACACACACACTTTAGATCTTGAATCATGGTTTTCCAGCTTCTCTAGGTAGACCAGCAAGTCCACCAGTCCGGTTGTAGGCGCCAGACGTTCAGATTCACTGTTTAGTATTTGTAGGACCAGGTAGGTAGTTTGAAGTGGTTACACCTTGAGTTGTCTCCTTTTCAAAATCCGTTTTTATTTTACTTTATGTCGTCTTAAGGTTAACCAGTCAACTTTTTTTTCTGATTTTAATTAAATTTTAGGAAGATACAGCCAATTTAGAGCCCGGTGTTGTTTTCACTCAATGTTTATCAGAAGCTTGTAAAGAATATTTAACACCAGATGCATCCAATACCCGTTCCAGTGTCATTGCACCAGATATACCAATTCGTAATAATTTAAGTCAAGTTGCTCGTATTATCAGTCAAGTGGCATTAGCAATGGAGAATGGAGAATATGACTTTGATGGAACAAAACAAACCGCTGTAAGTTCGCTGGATGTTTTTTCTTCTATTGGTAGTAAAGAAAAGCTGAGTGGATTATGCAATTCTATAGGCTTAAGTGCCTATCAAAGTCTACTGATCAGATTTGTGACATGTCCATTGACTTACTACTAAACACTGTAGTTAACTTGAAATCTAGACAGGCGATTTCCATAGAGCTCTCCGAGCTGAGTAAAACTGGGTTCACCGCTGATGGGTTCGCCCCGAAACGACTTCCAGTGTTTAGACCCCCTTAATTTGGCTAGCAAGCACTACTGGTTGGTGTGAGTTGTATGCAGCTATTCATCTCAATCAATCATTAGTAATGTAATATGTTGTTTACAGGGAGTGAGCGGATAGTGCAAGAAGCAAATAGTCTAAAAGAATAATATCAACTGATTGTAATTCACGGATTCAATGAATTTTACAATTGATGCAAAGTAATCTCAGAAAACCCCACCTGTATACAGATGCATATTCGTAGAGGAAGAAGCGAGGCAATAGGTGGAAAATAGTAACTGCATACAGTGTATTACACAACTGTTAAAATCAACAAGCTTATATTGGCTCGAAAATCAAAATGTTAAAAGTACAAAACTCAGTATTTTCAGTTGGGCGAATATTTTAGAATAAACTTTAGTCAAATTTAATCGTCAAAGCGTCATTGAATTAACGACTGTGTATTTTCTATAATACATAATCTAGTTTTAAACATTTTCATGCCTGTAACTCTCCAAACAGAGATAAACTGAATCCCTTCTGTATTAATCACAGCAGTCTTTATTATGGGCTATATGCAATAGGTACAGTGTAACCGACCTTTAATAAGTCGGTTAACTTGCTGAGGATATGACTAGTAATTATTTTGGTTGATGGTGTCTAGCATTAGAATCCACGATGTGCACTTTCGTTTCATTTCGGACTTGCCGGCTGGAAGTACCTGCATCCCTACTGAGTAGTGGTGATGGTGCTCATACTCAGACTCGAACCCGACACCCACCGTTCTAAACTCCATAGCATTATCCACTGGGTCACGAAAGCCACCCCTTGCGCAACGAGTATCAGTTGTTATTTTTGCTTTTAAGTTAATTTTGCATTTCCCGTTTATTGATTATGTTGGCCTGAAGGGTGTGGTCTCTTTTGACATATCGCCTCTTAGTACGAACGCTTTGACGATGTGTAGGGATTTAACACTAATCCTAAAATATGAATTCATTTCGTTCTTTCACTATGTATTCTTTTGCATATACCTCTAAGTTAGGACAGTATTCTACATTTAAATGAACTGTCATCAAGATTTGACAGAATAGTTCTAAAATATTTGGGCGCTGAGTGAGAAGTAGACATTTGTAAAAAATTATATTTGTAAAATCCCAGCGAGATTGAAATGAGTAATTCCAACGTTTCCTGTGTTCGGCAATCTGGTCCGAACTTCTTCAGGGAAATTAATCGAAATTAACATAACAGAGGTTTATATATAAAAGGAACATCACCTGTTTTTAATAACTTTGTCCAGTCATGAGTCATTCAATAAGTATAATAAACAAAATTTTATGAACTGTGATCAAAATTTGGCCTCGGACTTACAAATATTGGTCTACCTTTGTTATGGAGACGTTAAGAAATGTTTTACAACTGTTTACCCACATACACATACACCCTCTGTTTAAAGTGTTTAACAAATTTTGATGACAGCTCATAAAATTTTGTTTATTATACTTGTTGAATGACTCATGATTGGACAAAGTTTTTAAAAACAAGTGATGTTCCTTTTATATATAAACCTCTGTTATGTTAATTTCGATTAATTTCCCTGAAGAAGTTCGGACCAGATTGCCGAACACAGGAAACGTTGGAATTACTCATTTCAATCTTGGTGAGATTTTACAAATATAATTTTTTACAAATGTCTACAGTATTTTACACTTATGATAAAAAATGGACTGATTTTCATTTTCTGATATTATGTGTGTTTATAGCCTCAAGAACCAGTCTCCGCTCGTGCTGTTGCCTATAAACGTGCTCAAGCTGAACTAGAAGGATGTCGTTCTAAATTAGAATCTAAAGCTGAAGAAGTACGAGAATTACAAAAAGCACTGAAAGCACGTGCTGAAGAACTCAGTGAAATGTCTGTACGTGTTGGTTTAGCAGAGAAGAAATTAGAAACATCTGGTAAAGGTAATGAAGAGAAAATAGCTCGTTTAGAACAACGCTTGGAACAATCAGAAGCTCAATTAAAACGAAGTGAAAAGTAGGCCCTGTTTGCTTATTTTCGGTGTAATTAGATTTTTGTTTCTGATAGATGTAATTGATGAGGGATTTCGCTATTCGATAAGAATTTTGACGAACTGTTGCCAATCTTATCTTTGTTCCAGTGTCAAACAGATTGTCACAAATGGAGACAGGAAGTGCTAAATACAAGAGCGCTGGTCTTCAATGAATAAAAATGGACATGTGAAGAGAGAGTGGACAAATTATTTAATGTTTACGTTGATGATACACAGTACATGCATTTGTGCTAGTATGATAGACTTTTCACGATGTCGCCGATTGTCTCCTAATTTATATTCTTAACTTCCAAGTGTTGTTTTAATATAAGGATTTTATTGACCAGGGACTTGATCACGAGCTGATATTGTAACGACAGAAGATAAGGGCCAGACAACAGATCGTTTATTGAGAAAATCAACAGATATTTATATATTTTTATGAACATTATTATTCGTTATTATTAGCAGAGAAACAGCGTCTTCTGATTGGTCGTTTTCTTACTGGAAGTTATACTGTTATCTCTTTGTGGCCGTTTCTTTGAAGGTCACACCATATATCTGCTAATCGTATCCGCCCACGCAAAGTCTGCTGTTATTGGTTGTTTGTTTAGTCTTTGTTCTTGTTTTTTGGGACGTAAACACTGACGTAAATTGCTGTCTACCAATTTTGGCTAGCAGACAGCTCTCACCACATTATTAGTTAGGGAACTATTGTAAACCAGGGAGTACTGGACATCTGTCTTGTCCTAAGTGGGGGACTGTTCATCAGCATTCATATACCGGAGTTTGAGCTCAGGTTCTTCTTTTCACAAGACGAGCTCATAGCCCAATTTACTTGATACTACCCTCTAAATTACTGTAATTGAACTAATCAGCAAAAAGCGCTATTTCCTAATGAATAATCTTTTTATGACTTATGTCTTTTCTCGGGAAGAAATTGTCAATGTGTTTTAGGTGTAAACCATCAAAGCTGTTAATTTTTATCTTCCATTTTTCCTGGCTTTCAGGGAATATGAACAAACCCTTGATGCACTTCAAGCAGATATTGAAGCTTTAGAGCAGGAGAAAGCAGAACTTAAAGAGAAATTGAAAACTTTAAGTAAAAAAGCCTTATTCGAAGGAATCATTAAAACTCCATTGGTCACTGGTAAGTTTTGTTTTCAGTTAATGCTTATGTGTAGTGCATATACTTTCAAAGATATTGTAGTTGCATACATTCTTAGATCTTTCAATGGTAGAATGATCACCAATCACGCACGTGGTTTGGGTTCTATTCATGACTTGGTGCTGCACACCATAGTGTTGAGGCAGTTTCCAAGTTACTTCTCGATCAACACTATCGAAGGCCTTTACGAGGTCGATGAAGTTAAGATTCACGTTTGACTGCCATTCTATGCTTTATTCGATGATGATGTGTAGGGTTGAATTTAATCAGCATATGATTAACCTTTCCTGAATTCAGCTTGCTCCGGCGGGCGAAGTTCTGCATCTAGTACATCTTTTATTCTCTCCAGAATGACACCACTTGGTAGTTTACACCAGTCCTTGCTGAGGCGTAGGTCACCCTTCATTGGTAGCTTGACAAGGTAGGGTGGGCTTTCTCCCAATCGGTAGGCACATCTTCCTTCCAAACCTTTTGCAATAATGGCGTAACCCAACTACACTACTGGTTTAATACTTTCCAAAATACTGGACAACAGATAGGTTTCTCATATATTCACCTTTTTTCTAACTGATAATATTAATAGACAGTTTATGTAGGAAAGAGTTGTATGATACAACAAATATCATGAAATTAATAGCACTTGTAAGCCGGTTCATGCATCGTAGAGTATTAAAAATTATTTATCAATGGATGAAATGGCATTTAAGGAGTCTGTCGATTCTGCCCTACTTTTATCAGTAGAAATGATGAAAAACAACAAATAATATCGCATGTAGACAGATTATTTATACCAGCCGACTACACAAACCTTGATTGGTAGAAGGACAGCTGTCAGACGTACTAAACACTGATTTATAAGACAGTTTAATTTTCTTAACAGCATTTCAGTTCTCCCTAGTCACTGATTATCCTCACTTGAATTTACCTTGGGATATGTATCATTGTAGATACAATGGTGAAAAATTGTAGTTCAGGGGGATAATTTTGGTGTAGTTTATGTGTTCCGAGCTGGATCGTCCAGTTCACCAAAATATGTTTTATGCACCAGATACTCGAGAGGAAGCCGAATGGGAGAATGACTAGCTACATGTGGATCTGAAGGTGTCATGTTGGAAATCTTGTGAAAGCTTATCGCTAATTGTGAGACCACCTGAAAAACTGCAGAGAAGAGAGTGAAATTGAAGTGTGCTGTTGAAACTCTATGTTCTGGTCGGAACTCACGGGAATAATAACAGTCATAATAATGTATTATTATTGTTATCATTATTATTGGTAAGATAATTAGCAGTTTGAATTAAATCATCAGAGAATATGTGATCATTTACGCAAGATTCATACTTATTTGCTTTATATTAAGTGATAAACGTATGTTACTTTAATTTTCCCCTTGTATAAGGTCAAACTCCATCTAAGGGTCAGACTGCTACACCTGAAACTCCTTCAGTTGGTAAACAAACTTCTGTTGAGGGTGCATCACCTTCACCTGGTCCTGCACGTCTAGCTGCCTACAGAGATGCTTCATTCATGTCAATGGAGGTTAGTTTTCACATTTTGTTTCCTAATAAACAGACGTTTGTAATCCCTTATGTCAAAATATCTCAGAAAAGTCATTTTTGTAGTGGATATTACTAGTTCGCATATTTAACTTATTAAAAGTCGAGTGGTTTCAACTGTCTCACCCCCTTGTAAGCTAAGTCATACTTAGTAACATCGCTGATGAGTTTGACCCTAGACGAAAGAAACGGCCGTCCAGTGTTTAGACTACGTTGATATAGCTAACAATCACTTCTGGTTGATGTGACTGGTATACACCTATTCGTCCCAATGAATCAGTAGCATATAGCTTCTTGCATTTATGTTTGCTTCCTTGATTTTTTTTATTTCTTTATGTTTCCAGTGGAACAAAGGCCTTCAAGCTAGAAGCTTGAAGTTTCTGTAGCAGTGGTGTTTATTTTTACGGGATGACGTTGCTAGACTCATGCCCAACCTTCCCTCTGTACCAGTTTTATTACTGGTTTAGGGAGGTAAAGAAGTGCATTGGCCGGGGATCGAACCCCGGACCACATGCGTGGTCGGCGAGCATTCTACCGCTGTGCATTCTTGATTACCATTCATGATATCAAGTATAACATATATTGTGATCTAAATAATTTGCAAAGGGAACTGTGTAAATTGCAAATCGCGAATTTGATTTAGTGAGTGTAGATGTCTAGTTCACAAATGACAGTAATTTTACTCATCACCTATTTTCAAGTTTACTAGCAGTCAAATCAAAGGAGGATAATAAATAGTCTTAAAATTCTATTTCAATTCACGGATATCATAACATTCTAACAAGTTACTTATTTTGACTATAAAAACACTCGTCTTATTTCCTGCCTGACTGTAGTTGATCGATAACACTCATATTATTATTATTCCTGAATGTACATTATCCAGACTGGTTTTTTATTCAAATATCTAATCAATTCCACTCATGTATATAAATGAAGTAAAAAGTTGTGTGAATGACTTGATATGATGATTATGAGCAATAGTTTGTGCTCGAAACGTCATTAGTTAATATTACTGTACAACACTGTGTGATTTATCAAAATAAAATCTTATCTATAATGGAGTTAAACCGAAAACAATTTTAAATAATCCCATTATTAACATTAGAACAAGACATATAAGCGAACTATATTGTTTTCACTTTAGATCTTCTTCAGGCTTTACTCTAATTTATTTAGATTTATACACAAAATTTTTAACAAATGACGGTGAGTTTATGGATCAAATAGCAATAATAACGTGTTAAATGTCCTGAAGGTCAGTAATAACGATGATTATAATGATAATAAGATTTATGCACGTGGTGATAAGATTAACGAAGGTAGCAATATGTGTATATTTAAACGATTCAATAAATAATTTAGGTCAAATCTCAGAAGTTACGTAATACTGAAGCTGCAACGGACAGATAATCAGAGTTCAAAATAAATATCATAAAACTAGGAATGAAATGGAAAATAAGAGAGGGTGAAAGGGTTTTGATTAGCATATTTACCTAGGCTAAGGGAGAGACAAAGGTAGAACAAACCTCTTTCGTATGCAAAGACTAGGATTGTTCTCTCTAATTGCAGGTGATATACATATTTTTGGAATAAAGCAGATTATTACTATTATATTTGTATCTGTATCCAAATACTACTTGTATATCTTGTCAGTAGCTAACGTCACTAAAGATCTGTTGCTTACATCTGGACTGGTGAATGTGTTGGTTTACCTAGGGGAGCTGGGAAACCTCGATTCCAAACATCTGGTGTACATGGCCTCCACAATCCAAGCGGATCAAATGGCGTGTGAACCTCCTTTTGGTCTCTGGAAGCCATCGGATCACAACTCCTGACCTTGCTTCACTCACTACCTTGTGTATCAGTCTTTCTTTCAAAGGCTCGGAAGTGGTGGTCCCTTAAGGCCAATCACTTGCTTCGATCTAGGCGTTCAGGCAGTACCCAAATCCTTGCAAAGACTACGCGAATTAGTGTGGCACGTCCCTCAAGGCTCACCACGTACCTAGTTAATGTTTTAATAAATAAAAAATAATATTTGTGTGGATAAGTGACAAAACTGTATTACAATATCACAGATGAATTAATATTTTACTGATACACATTATATATAGTGTCTGAAGTCATATTACAGCATAGGATACGATTACATGAATTGGCTATGTTACAGATATAAGTCGAAATAAAGGCAGGAACAAGCTACAGACCCTCAAAACATGGAACACTAAGTACCAAGTGTTAGAAAATATTCACATACTTTCCTATTGATAAGAAGCATATTGCAAAATGATGCCATTTCCTGGGTTTTTATGTTAGTGCTGACTAGCAGTAAGTATTCGGTACGCTCACCTCCTTCCAATTGGGACTCGTCAGTTTGATGTTCATGCATCCACAGTCTGGTAGTGCATTCACTGTGACTCAAACCCATCACCTATTTTCTCAAAATATTACCTACTAGACCACCACGTTAAGAGATCCACCTCATGTGCAACAGGTATCATTTGCTCACGGATAAATCCAATTGATGTGTACCAAGCAGGGGAAACGTGCATCCACCGACTACTCCACACTGCAAACTACAATCGACCAAGTAATGTTGTATTCATTTCAAGGCATTGCTGAAGTGTCCATGCTAGAAGTTAACATATGAACTTAGATAAATACCACTTCGTAGTTACATTATAATCGTTTTACAACTAATGCAGTTGGAAATAATAAAGTGTTTGACGATTGATTAATTATGTTAGATGATTGATTTAGTGACTGGATTATTGTGTTACAATATGTTATCGTCTGAATATATTCAGTTGAGAATGAATATACACTGATTGATAGCGTAATTACAATTAGAGGAAATTTATCAAAAGATTACGTACTAACTACCCATTATTATTATTATTGTTTCCTTTAGTTCCAAGAGGAACATAGGGGCCCCAGCCGCAAGTTCTAATTCCGTTCGGTTCTCTGCCAACGTTTTCACCTGGCTCCATGTCTGCCGACATAATTTCATCTTCTCTTCACACAACCTCCTCCATGTCACCCCCACACTGACGATCAACTCTCCGCTTCCCGTTCGGGTTGAACTCGAGCGATGGCCTGTCGTGTAATGTTAATTGATGGTTTCCTCAGAGTATGACCAATCCACCTCCATTTCTTCCTGCTTATATGTTGCACAATCTGTTCCTGGTTGCTTCGCTCCCAGAGATTCCTGTTGCTGATCTTTTCTGGCCGGCCACCTGATATTGAGTAGTATTGAGCGAAGACAACTGTTAATGAAGGTCTGTAGTTTGTTTGAGGTGCTCTTTATGACGCGCCAAGTCTCTGATCCGTATAGTAGCACTTACTGACTTCACATTGGAGTTGAATATCCGGACCTTATTTTTCATGTTGAGTGCTGTTGACCTCCACACAGACTTGAGAGTAATGAAAGCTTGTCTTGCTTTTCCGATCCTTGCTTTGATATCCTTATCAGTTCCACCTGTAGTTGAAACGATGCTTCCCATGTTCGTAGGTAAAGGAGTTTGTTTCTTTCAGGTTCCTTCCTTCCTACCCATTCACGCATATGTGATTTTTAAACTGAAGTAACATCATCATTGGCATTTTCAGCTGTGGTCATGTCATGCATAGATCCCACATTTATGGACTGTGATTTTTATTATTATTATTATTATTATTGTTTCCTTAATTCCTAGAGGAACATAGGGCTTCAGCCGTGCGTCTCCATTGCGTTCGGCTCTCTGCTAGAATCTTCACCTGGCTCCAAGTCTGCCCACACGTTTTCATCTCCTCTTCACATGACCTCCTCCAAGTCACCCTTGCACTGACGACCAACTCGCCGCTTCCCTTTCGGGTTCCACTCGAGCAATGGCTTGTCTAGTGATTTCACTTGATGGTTTCCTCAGAGTATGGCCAGCCAATCCATCTCCATTTCTTCCTGCCTCTTTGTTTCACAATCGGTTCCTGCTGTGTTGGTTCGCTCCCAGAGATCTCTATTGCTGATCTTTTCTGGCCATCTGATCTTGAGTATTGAGTGAAGACAACTGTTGATGAAGGTCTGTAGTTTGTTTGAGATGCTCTTTATGACGCGCCAAGTCTCTGATCCGTTTAGTAGCACTGACTTCACATTGGAGTTGAAAATCCACATCTTATTTTCATTTTCATGCTGAGTGCTGTTGACGTCCACACAGACTTGAGAGTAATGAAAGCTTGTCTTGCTTTTCCGATTCTTGCTTTGATATCCTCGTCAGTCGAGTCTGCCTGTATTTGAAACGATGCTTCCCATGTTCGTAGGTAAAGGAGTTTATTTCTTTCAGGTTCCTTCCATTTATGCTGATTGTTGTCTGTTGTTGTTGCTGTGGTTGTGTCTGTTGGCCAGGAATCTTCATCACCTCTGTTTTCTCTATGTTCACCTGAAGTCCTGTTTTCTCTGGATGCTTCTTCTGCTAACTTGTTGCTTTTCACTTGCATATCTTCCAGTTTGTGAGAAATCAGACATATATCATCGGCGAAGTCCAGATCATCAAAGTTTTTTGTGTGGGTCCACTAACTACTTATAATTTACGTGAATGCAGAAAGTGGTAGGAGGGAAAAACTTCCTAAATTATGTGTTCACCTACCATCTGATTACTCTATATGTATTTTTATATATCTATATAATTCAGACCATCACGCAGTTGAAAAGTCATCTAGTTAAAGAAAATATGTAACGCCAGAATGATAAGAGAGAAGTGGTAACGGGATTTTTTATTCCAGAAAAAAGCATCATATTTATGCATTTTTAACCACATTGGAAGTCGGTTAGGTTAGTGGACAATAAATAAACAACTGCTCTGAGAATGTTGATTGGCTGAAGGTTAAGTAAAGTGATGAAAAGTTGTCTGGTGAGATTATTTCCAGACCCCAATGTTAACTGAATCCAGATTTGAAGAATAAACACTTCTACTCCCTTCAGTTATCAACCTAAAATGTTGATTTCAATTTTCGCCACTTCTTATCAATCTGCATCTATATAATGATATATAAATTGTAGCACATTGAACTGTTTTGAGAAATCTTTAATCTCCCCATATCAGTATTTATGTGTACGTATGGGATCATATATGAATCTCCTTCAGTAGTTTCGTATTTGAGGTCTGAATATAGTCCTACACTCTACGAGGTTGTTCCTCACAAAAGTTATAGGGCAAATGTGAACGTTTGGCACTTGAAGATACATTGGTGGGGCATGTTAGGCTACCTAAGGTAGCTGGAAAACTCTGATTCCAAACCTATGGTGTAGATGGGCTCCAGAATCCGAATGGATTGAATAGCGTGTGAAATTGTTTTGGTCACCGGAAACCATGGGAGTGTAGCTCCTTAGGCTGCCCCACTGCCTTGTTGATCTGTCTTCAAGTCAAAGGTACGACTGACAGCAAGGCATAACGCATTCACGTGACAACTAGATATCACTCTTAACGGTTTTAGTAAAATAACGCAGTTAAGTAGTTTAGTTCAGCTAATATATATCTGAATTGATAGTCCGGAGGCATTTGCTTTGAATCCTGCCACAATCTTGAACTTTTCTTTTTCATAAGTTAGGGTTTCAAACTTTTAGAGAATCAGTAGTGGGTTTGTAGCCTTATGTCCAATCTCCACTATTGTATGACATAGCTACCACCTGGTAAACAACTAGGTGAGGTTTTAAAGGGGCGTTGACCCGGGATTTGGACGTTGATATTCTCGTGTGTCTCGCGAGCATTGTAATGTGCCTTTTTTGGCGTACAGATCCTTTGGAATGTTCTTCGAAATGCATAAAGACTTAAATCTTTTTAATGACTGACTTTATTTTTTGTTTCAATGTTTTTTTTATTTAACATAGATTGCAGCCCTTCGCGAAGCTGTCCGACGTTTGTCTTCTGAGGTATCTAAGCTACGTGGTGAAAAGATGTTTGTGAGTTTATTAAATTTTGTTTTTCTTCTAACGGATAAATAATAAACTATGTGTAGTACATTAATACTCCTCTGTGAAATATACACAGATGCCCTCAAAGTTGTGGAGTGTATAAAAGTTACGGAGAAATCTCTGGTAGTCACCTACCTCACGATAACTGAAGCTCTTTATTCTTATTGAAATACTCTTGAGCTGATGATTTTCGTGTTGTTTTCCTCATTCGTTTGTGCTCCCAGTGGAACCTACAGTTTCAAGCATGAGCTTTGAAGTTTCAGGAGCAGTAGCGTTGTTTTTACAAAACAGAGTGGCTAGCCGAACACCCAACCCTCCCACTTTATCGAGCTTACTACCGGCTAAGTGAGGTTTATGAGTGCGTCGTCTGTGTATTGAAGCCGGACCACATGCATAGTCGGCAAGCATCCTACCCCTCAGCCACTGTGGCACTTCATTTTCATGTGGTGGGAAATTTTCTGTAACTGAAATCGCACACGTTTTGGACATAATAAATGGACGAATTCATCAACTCTGTTGTATTTAATAAACATTTTTTATAAGGTCAGTTGTCACCGGGTTCGAACCCCGGTGAGTGCGTACTTCTGAAGAGTCCTAAACCAGGACAAAACGGCTTTTTCAGTACTCCCTGCAGGTTTCCCAATGATTCTCTAACTGATGTCAGCTCATGATGAAATCCCCCATCCGAATTTAAATTTGTTAGATATTTAGTGTTCAATGTGTTTAGCTGAATGAGCGTGAAATTATGATTTCCTCATATTTGTAATTACCTGTTATAGATTCCACTCAAATAGATCGTTTGACTATCTTCAACCTATAAGCAACGTCGATTTTTCTGACTGATTGAATTTTAACATAGACTTTTGCAGAAATGTGCAGTACTTCAAGTTGCCACACTCCATGCACAGCACACAAAAGTTGAGAAAAGAGAGAAGAAAGAAATTCACAAGAGTTAAAAATACACAGAAAAGAAAAAGAATGGCAACATGGAAATGTATGAGCGTTTAATAGATATGGGAGATGATAAAGAGTGAATGCATTTACATTAGTGAGAACGATTTTGAACTATATTACCAGTAGTCTCCATCCAAACAGACAGTCTGCACCTTTCTAAGTGGTCGGCTCAAACCAGCTGTCAAAGACTTCATAGACTTTCACTGCTAATCATGAGTAAATAGTTGAAGTTTAGAAACATTTTGTGTTTCATACCATAGATGTCAGTATCATATTCCGATGAGGGTCACTTCCATTTGTTACAGCTTAGTTACGTCCTACTAACGAGTCATCAGTGCGGCAGAGCATTCATAGTTTCCATTGCCAATCACCAGCCTTAAAATGGATAAATTATCTTAGTAAAAGCGAATTCGACAAACTAAACGTATTCTTATTTGTTGTATCCATGATAATACTTGCTGTGACTTCGACACACAACAATATACCAGTTATCACTCGAATACTATGCTGACTGAGAAGGCGACATTTTATTGCCCAACGAAAATGGTCATGACACTGGAAATATAAAGTATACTGTACAGTTACTTCAAACAATCGATAAGTTTCTAGTTTAAGATGTTAAGGTCATACTTTCACTGGATCCAGTGTTGTGACCTTTAATCTGAGGTAAGAGTCAAATGTCTAGTTCACAAATCACGGAAGGAACAGTAACTCATGATACATGTCTCTTCTTGTCTCTTAACCCTATTAATTTTCTTAATAATTGAAGCCAGATTGAAAAGCATGCTGTTATTCAATATACATCGAGTCAAAAAAAGAATTGACCTTCACTCAAAGTTTTTATTACTGTTATTCCAAGGAATGACATTTCCCTCCGCTAGTGCTAATCCTTTATACATTCGAGTCTCTGAGTTCTTTTATTTGAAAGAACTGTTTTCCCATATTTTCTTCATATTCTATTAGGTTAGGTGTTGTGCATGAGCAGGGGGTTTACTTTTAACCTTTTCTTATAGTGTTTGAAACCTTTCCATTCACTAACCTAACTGCTGATTCACACCCTTAACTTTAGACGAAAAATAACTTAATAACTTTTCCATTTTTTCGATAAAGTAGTTGAATTCTTGTAGTTGGCACATCTGCATTTCATTGTGTTCGCCTTATAGTCCCTTTTAGCTGACTGCACTATTGCCTCATAAGCTTTCAAATACTCTCTTCACACTATCTCCTCCATTTTACCAATAGACACCCAACTTTTCGTTTCCCGTTTGGGTTCTACTCAAGAATCTGGTACGTGATATCACCCAAAGATCCATCCCCTCTTCCTTCCGCATATTATTTGGGTATAAGTTTCTTGTTTGTTTTCGCTATCTTCTAGAGTTCCTTGTTGCTTGTCACTCCTGCCTCTGTGATCTTCAGTATCGAGCTGTTGATAAAATTTTGAAGTAGCCTGTTGAAAGTGCTATTGATGACACTCGCGCCAAGTTTCTGAACCACACAGAAGCACTGACCAATCTGACATTAGTTCTGAAAATTCTGATTTTTTTTCCTCTTGCTTAGTGCAATGGATTTCTAGACTGATATCAAAGCAATGAAGACGTCCTGCTTTTCCGATCTTGGCTCCTTTTGACATGCTCATCTGTGCCGCTTATATAGGTGAAAAAGGTGACCTCCTTTACATTCCTCCAATTTGTGTTGTTGTCTATTCTATATCCATTTGAAGTCTTGCATTTGCTGCCTCTTCTGTCAACTTGTTGCTTTTTGCTTCTTCATCTTCGAGTCTGTGTGACATTGCAGACAAATCGTAAATGAGGTCCAGATATTCTAGAGAATTATTCTTGATCCAGTGTATGCCTGTCTTCTCGCTCCCCGCGGATAACAGCAGTAGTTACAGTTTACTGTCAGCTTTTCATTATCATTGGTAATAAAGGCCTCAAAATAAGTAATTTTAACTACGTTTGAATGATAGAGTCGGTAGTATTTATTTTTATCTCCACAAGCTTACCACATAAGTAAGCTGCTTTATGACCACGATTGAAACTGACGGAGAATATTTCTCCTGTCGGAGTTCGAACCAACTACCTTCAGATTACTTACGCGTTTGCTGCCTCTTAAATCGATCTGCGACAAGTTACTGACTCCATAAATATATGGTCATCATTTTTTTAACTATGGAGGTCAGATATTCCAAATGATAGTAATTTTGTAAACAGTTAGTTTAACGGTCCCCTTTTTCTCACGTGTTTTTTAAACCAGAATCAAATGAAAAGTCTTGGAACTTTGCCAAAACCAATACGTCGTCAATATCTCAAAGCTGTTGATAATAATACCGCGAATAATGAATCTCAACCATCATCCACTACAGAAGAAAAAGAAGAAGTAGAAAAAGAACAAAAGCCTATGATATCACAGGTGGCACGTGAGGCTGATGCACTTCGAAAAGAAATGTTTTCTGTTATAGCTAATCTTCAAATAGTTCGATTGCCTAAGCCGTCGAAACCAATTGAAGAGCCTCCTTCAGGCGCCGGTGATGGATCGACACAACAACAACAGTCGGCTAAAGCCATCGTGCCTACGCCTACAATGCAATTCAATAGACAGACTGCACAGTTAGTGAAATTGAAAAATGATTTAGAAAAGGTATTGATTTCTTCGTTTCACTTTTTTTTGTATGACCGTAGAATATTAATCATAGTTCCAGCAACACACATCTGGTTAATAAAAGGAAGTGGAACTTGCAATAATTAAAGCACTTTTAAATTTGATCACGGATTGTTATCAGTTAGAGAGAACCATTGAAAGCCAGGGAACACTGTTTTTTAGCCGTTTCGTCCTAGATTTCAGGAGTCTTCCCAATGGTTATCCTAATTAATATGAATCTCCGATCGAACTTGAAGCTAACCGAATTCCGATTAACTAACACTTGAAAATTCAACTGTTAGCTAATCACCACTGAGAAAGTATAATAAATCGAAAATAAGTTGTTTAGAAGAAAGCGTGTCATTGGTTTATTGCTTGAAATATTCTAGTGCTGTACCAACTGTGTGGAGGCTACAAATGATGTAAAATTACTCACGCATTTGTGATTCATGCTGGTTTGAAAATCTCCTAAAGCTTTAACGCTTCCATTATAAACTTTTTACTCTTAATTCAGGTGTCTTTATTCCATTAATTCTTAGTAGTAGTAAGCTAGATAGTGTATACTTGAGATAATATATTGCAGTGATACAATAGCTATGCGGTGATAACATTTAAAAGAAGTTAATTGGTTAATTGTAAAGCTACCTGCCTGACATAGTAGAAATACCACACTATGGCTGACGGTACACAAAGTGGTAGTAGTAAGGTATGCATCTGATAAGAATCGATTCCTTGGAGGTAAGACTTCAGTGGAATGAAAGTATTCACTCCAGGGTTCTCTGATGTTGGTAGTTAGGTTAGGTGATTACAAACATATATACATATGTATTCACTTTATCAAACATGACCATCTATTTTGTTCTTCGATATTACTATTCTTTTTGCCTCATATCTCTGTTTGCTGTTTCTATTTTGCTTTTCTTTTTACTTTATTCTTGTTCTCTGCCTTTTTGTGCTAAGTGAAGTGTGGCGACTAGAACTGCTGCACATCGGTGCGAAGTTCTATGTTGAAACCAGTCAGTCAGGGGTCACGAGCGCGTACTGCTGAAGAATCCCAAACTAGAGAGAAACAGATGCCCAGTGTTTCTTGGTTTTCAGTGGTTCCCTAACTGATATCAATCCATAATTAGACTTGAACAATGCATCAGTATGGAATATTCTTTACATAATCGAAATATTTCAAAACAACAAATGCCTATTAAATAAATTGTAACTAAGATGGCGGAGATTAAAGGTTGCGTAATGTGAAAAGAAAACGTTCAGAAAAACTGGATGGTAATGAAAAGAGCATCAAAACAAATCAGGTGATTAGGTGAAGAGAGTGAACAAAAGGTTAATTCAAAAAGTGATGTCAATAAATAGTATACGAAAAAATGCACAAATAACATTGACGAAATACTGATAACAGTTGAACTTGGAATGATATCTAAGGTAGAAGGAAGAGATGAAGAAGCTTCTTCTGTGTACATAACTAAGGATTTTTCATCTGAACCACTACGACCTTTGCAATGCAAAGTATGCGGGAGTATACCGTTTTCAAGGGAGGCAGGCTTCTTTTGACTGTATACATAACTTTGAATGAATCCTCCTTACATATTAAGTGACCAGTGTTGAATATATATTCATTTATAGCACTCCTTATTGATTCATTGTGACGCTTCTGTAACCAAGCGGGACAATGTCCTTTGACTCTTTTAGATTAAACACGCATTGAATGATCCATATATTTCGCTCCACTGAAGCAAGTGAATTGGTAAATACACCGAGAGGTGGTCGAATGCGATAACTTATCTTTAAAGTTATTGGAGAACATAGAACAACAAGAGAATACCAATTTTAATGTAGAATCTTCTTTTTAGCGCATTTGATATTCTTTTCTTTAAAGTGTCAGTTAAAAGGTCGCCTTTTGAACGCTACGTTTATATATTATTACATCTTATTCGGTACAGAGATGTGGTTTTCTTTGTTGTGTTTATCTATAAAGCACTGGTGGCCGGAGAAGGGAAGGGGATATCCATTTTCATTTAGTGTTTCCCTCTAGAATGTGGTCTCTTCATCTACCGACACCGAGTTAAAGATTCCTCGAATCCAAGTTAGAAGAGATGTTCTCATATTTTGCTTGCGATTTATGGGCGCTTCCTTGAGCATGTAATTATAGCCAAGGTAGGGGAAGGAGTGTGGACTGGACTCTCAGTTTGTTTCAGAACACCTGTAGCATCTATGATGTGTATATTTATGACATAATAGTTGTTTCCAACATTTTCCTCTCATGAATACCTTGAATTTTTTGTTTGTTTGATTATTCATCACTTAACAATGAACACATGGAACAAATTATTTTTATTTCTTTCTAAATGATAGAATCTTTTTCCCCCTATCCTAATTCTTTTCTTTCGGCTGTTTTATATTTTCTACACGTTTAGTTACAACAGCGTGCAGTTGAAGCTGTCAAGACAGAAATTCCAGGTGCATCAATTCAAGCCGATTTTACATCCTTCCCATCAGTAAAATTAAAACGTCTATTTAATGCTGAAAATAATGAAAATCTTCCGCTACGTTCTCGTTTAGTATTCCCTGGTGGAGATGATTGTAAAATGAATCCAACAAAAGTTTGCATGACTAGAGAAGATCAACAGATTCTACATTCACATTTACTTAAATAAATGCCTGTTGTTTTATCATTTGTTGTTGTGTTTTTTTTTTTGCGGGGGGTTAAAGTTTACTTACCAGTCAATCCTGAAGATATTTTTTACTTCCTACTTATCATTAATACTTTTATTTACAATGACTATTATACGCGCATACATACTTCTACACATAATATATTATAAACTTGTATTTCATGTAATGGTGTATGGTGTTGTAGTGTTTATGACAATGTAATCTCCTTTATTAATATCTTGACTAAGAAGACGTCTTTTACTTTCTTTTCATTCGTCGACGTCATTTTTAAATGCCAAGAGTTTCCCTTTTTTTCATGGTTTCATGGTTCTCCTACGATTAACTGTGTTAATTAATAATAATAATTTTTCTCTCCAATTTAGTGTGGAAAATACGGCAAAACATCGCCATTTCACTCCGTTCCCTACAGTCTTTTCTAACTGGCTCCACAATCGCCTATATAAGCTCTTACCTCAACTACACACGATCTCCATAACAAGTCACTCTTGGAGGCCCGAATCGTCTTTTGCCATCCGAGTTTCACTCGAGGGTATGCCTGGCGCGTGATATCACTCCATTGTCTCTTCAGTGTATGTTCCATATATTTCCATTTTCTCCTACTTATTGGTGGGGTAGTAGGTTCTTGGTTGGTTCGTTGCCACAGACCCATGTTGTTTATACACTTTGTGGCCATCTGATATCCAATAACGACAGGTAACCATTGATAAAAATATGACGCTCCAATTCTCTGAACCATGTAGAATCGCTCAGTGTGGGCATTAATGTTGTTAATTCACATGTCATTCCTCGCGCTGAGTGCAGGAAATTTCCACAATGTGATATCAGAGTAATGAAGGTGTGTCTTGCTTTTTCGATTCTGTCCTTGATATCTTCATCTGTGCCGACGCGTGTGTTTGAAACGACACCGCCTAGATAGATGAAAGAGGTGACTTCCTTCAGAGATCTCTCATTGATGGTAATTCATGCTTGCTATTGGTTAGGTGTCTTTATAACCTGTCTTCTCTATGTTCACATGAAGTTTTGACTTCTTTGCCACTTCTGGCAACTTGTTGGTCTTCACCTTTAAATTGTCGAATTTGTTTAACACAAACATACATCATCCTAAGAGTCCAAATCTTCTAGTGTCTTTACCTCGGTTCACATATTAAATTACGAAAAGGATTTCCAACAGGTTGCAGACTTTCACCAACAGCTGCCTTCGTTCCATACTGAAGGTCAAATGACCAGAAAGAATAAACAACAAGAAACTATGGGAACAAACCAACCAAGAGTTGATCACTCAACAAATATGTAGGAGAAAGTGGAGATGGATCGGGCATACATTGACGAGGCCGCTGAATGACATCGCACGCCAGGCTCAGTGCTCGATCGGAATCCAAATGGGAAGTGACGAGTGGGTCGTCCTAGGGTGATATGGAGGAAGACGAGATGAGTGAGTATGGTCAACCGTAGACCCAGCTGAAGATGACAGCAGAAAACAGAATAAAGTGAAGATGTGTTTTTGAAGCCCTATGTTCCACTCGGAACGCGAGGGAATAATAATAACCTGATGACTACTAGCATATCTGTCTATCCCATTAGTGTATTAGTCAAAGCCTATCGATCATTTTCGCAAGTGATTATTTAATTTAGAAGAATATTGATGGCGGGATTATTTGCGACAAACTACCAGGTTTAATGAAAATCATGAGTGCAGGCTGCTTGCACAAATATAATACCATAACAATTCTAATTCTATGTACGCAACACACATCCGTCATATTGAAACGTTAGGAGAGGAAAAACTTAGTATCTCTATATGGCCGAATTATGTACACCTGATCTTCAACGCACCATCTGTACAGATCTTCCGTGTTGTACCACTACTCGCCTTCATATTGTGTTTCTTTGTGTTCTTTTCACGTTCCCCATGTATCTAGGCAACGCTGTATCATTTGCTTTCTCTGACATCGAATCTCCCTGCTGTCCGATGTTTTTATGCCGATGAACCTCTATTTATATACTACTGGTAAATCTTATCAGTAGCACACGCCACAATCTATAATGATATGTTAATT